AGAGCTGATCAAAAAGATAAATAAATTCCGAAATCGTGGAAATTTGGATTTTTTCCCTCTAATGTTAGGTTAATTATAGTTTTCACTATAATGTTTTCTCTGATGTTAGGAAAATTCAGAGCCTCCCAAAACCTCGAAAACCTTAAAATGGTCCTTTTGGGAACTTATTTTTTTTAATAGCTCTGGTTTTTGTAAAAAAAAAAATGGCACATGTCTACATCACAGAAACATTCCAGAAAGCTTGTTAATTTTGCTTGTGCCTCAAACTGGATTCCAGGTTCACACAGACGTTCGAAAGACGTGAACAGGTAGATTTCCATGAAAAGATTATATTTAAAATTTTCAATCGTCTCTTTTCCTAGGCTCGGATCAAATGTTCCTTGGAGAGAATTTTCGAAGTGGAAAAAATGCTTCCGACGCAAAGACGCCTGCTCAAATGACGTGCAAAAAGATCCACGTGAAAAACTGATTTGAAAGATCTTTCCCGAGGCTCGGTTGCAGCGTTCCTTGGGGGGAATCTTTGAGAAGGAAAGAACGGTCCCGATACAAAGTAAATGGCAAACTTTATGCGGCCACAAGTCAGAGCGTGGGTGAGGTTGCGACATCGACACCCCGGTGCACGAACGATCCCATCCCGAGGTAAACACGACCGTAAACCGTTTCTTCTCGCGCGCTATCGCCGGCCAATTGTCGTTGAGACAATCGGGACCTTTGTTTCGGTTATCTTGCAGTTATCGAGCCGCCGATCGAGCAGCACGGGATAACCCGAGGACAATATAAGCGAAAACCGGGTGCGATCGTAACTCCTCGGGTGCAGGCAAATCCAGAACGTCGACTAAGCCACTCTAAGAGCTCCAAATTGGTAATAATAAATTACCCGAATACCGATAATTTCAACGTCGAGTAAATCATATATTAAAAACGCCCTCAGACTTCTCACCGTCGCGAATAATCGACTTGGCCGTGACCGTTTTGGTCGTTTACGCGAACTCGATCCGTAAACATTAATTTCGCGCGATAAGCAGGAGATACGCGTAAACGGAGCTCGTTGCAAAATCTGTTGTAGGTACGCGGGAAAAGCAAAAACACGCTTCCGGGATTTATGCAATCCGCGGAAGTGCCGGCCAAGGCGAAAGAGCGGAGGATCATGGACGTTCGAACAAAGAACAATTTCTCTCGGCGGTAAGACCCGACCTCACGTGTATTACCCATCGTGTATCGTTCATTTCCTCGCGCATCCTCGTGAATCCAGAAATTTCTATTTTTCCCATAATTCCCAAACAAACGGCTGCACGATATGGCTTCGATCAGCTGTTTCGCGGCAGCTGGTACCGGGCTCCGAAAAAAATCCCGCCCCACCTCAACCGACTACTCCGATTTTACCCTCGCAATGTCGCAACTCACTTTCCATTCCGCAAATCGTCAAATTGCCCGCCTTCTCGTTCCCAAGTCTCGCGAGTAAAAGTTGAACGCGTTTGACTTATATTCAAATCCCGGGTAAAAAAAACGTCTCTCGGCGAGATTTTCGATCGCGAGTCTCGAAACGCGTCGCCGCCAGCACGAACAGCTGATCCGAGCGTCGGCGATAACGCGATTTTTTCTCGACGTCCAACCTGATGATTTTGCAGCTCTTTGTCTCCCCTCCGTGTCTTCCGACGAGCGCGAGATAAATTGAATAAAAAAAAAAACAAAAAAAAAGGTTAAATCTCGAGGCCGAGAGTCACGTTGCGAACAGCTGATTCGAGAATCTCCCGAGCGCGTCCCGACGATATTTCCCTCCCCTCTGATTTTCTACCCTCCTCGATTTCCCTTCTCAAATATCTCTATTATTATCCCTAGATTCGACGGGGCCTCGGGAAATGACAACGGAGGTGCCTTTGTCTCTTTGTCCGCGCGGCGCTCATGGAGGCCCGCGAGCGCAATTCCCGATACTCGGTAAAAAGGAAATAAGAAAATCCGTTCGCGAATGCGAAACTGGTAATGCAAGCTCAACGTCTATATAGACAGAGAGGGAGAGGGAGAGGGAAAGAGAGAGAGTCCGAGTCGCGAACAGCTGATCGGCGTCTTTCCTCTAGCAGGTCCCCAGACCGGGAAGTGCCCATCCGGGAGCGTTATTCCCGGAAATCGTCAATCTACCTCGGAAGTCGATAAGAATCGGGCTCGGCTCCCGAAATAAAATGGAAGAAATGTGAAAAGCTCGATTCGGTCCACTCGCGAACAGCTGATCGGAGTCGATCTTCGAGGAGATCGTTCCACGTCTCACGGCTCTACTTTCCCATACGGCGCGTTAACGACGAATCGTATCGGGTGAGATTCGAGATCGAAAAGGTATCGTAAAACGCGATTGCTCCGAAATGGACGGCCGAGGTTCGCGTCGCGTCGCGGCACCACGAGTCGCGAACAGCTGATGCCCGCCTACCTTCGGCGGGTCGGTCGACGCGCGTCGAAACGTCAAACGCAGCGTCCGGGACGAGAGGAGGACGCCGACGCTTGGACGGACGGAAACGTCAAACTGGACCGTGAAGGAGAGAGAAAGAGAGAGAGAGAAGAAGAGGTTAGGTGGGCCGACACGAGCCGTCCGGGCGTCGAGTCGGGAACGTGCGACGACCCCGAGGGGCCGGTCGGGGGGAGTCGCCCCCCGGGCCCCGCGCGCGCTCGCCCAGGCCGCGTCGTCCGGCCGTGCACCCCGACCCTCCCGCGCGCTCCGAGTCGCCCAGGGCTTACCTCACCCCCTGGTCGCGTCCGCCGCCGCCACCGCGGCGCGAACCGCCGTCGAGCGAGGCAGGGACCCCTCCGCGACGGGCGCGCACACGTTCGCACTCCCAACAGGACAGCTGAGACACCAGTGCCCCGCCAGTTTTATGTAAGAGACATCTCGCGAGGTCCGCCGCGACCGACTTCACTGCGCCGACTTGGCTCCTGCAGGCCCGCGCGCGCGAGCGCTCCGCCGAGAGAGTCTCGCGTCGTAACCGAAGCACCGAGCCACCGCCGCGCTGCTCGATTCCTCTCTAGCCTGCCCCATCGACGACAACAACAAATATGGCGAACGCGAACCTCCTGCACCTCGACGCGAGGACGACCGACGACTGGCCCGGCCAGGTGGCGCCACGCGCGTCCCCCGCCGCTCGACCGAGCGAACGCCCGCCATCGGCCGTCCTCGGCTGAACTCGGCCATCTTCGCCGCCGGCCCGGCGAATCGAACGCCCCGCACGGCCGACTTAGCGCCCGCGCGCTCTGGTGACCGAGTGGGGAAGTTCCGCCGACGCTGCGCGGCCCGGCGCAGAGACCGCCTAGTCGTTTCCCCCTCTCTGGCGACCGGAAGACCTGGCCGAACGGGACGCGAGGGTGGGAGAAGGATGGATAGATGCGGGAGGTGTATGCGAACTCTTGACTCCTCCCCTTCCTCGCCTCCGCGCTACGGGTAGAAGACTACTAGAGATTTATTGATGCGAGGAGCGCCAGCCACTGGCTGCAGGTCTAGGCCTGCCCGGGCTTCGCTTCCGTTACCCCGCCGTATTCGATTTAAATATCTTAAGGAAATATGTGACTCTTCCACCTCGGTTTTTATGGCATATTGACAGGTATCAGTTGAGAGGGTGTCTTTAAGCTTCTGGTGAAAATTAATCTTGTAGGAAAATGACTAACCCAACGTAACGAGTGACCCACTTTAGAAGTAGAAAGGCAGATTCCCCGGTAGCCTCCTGCAGCTTCCGCGCGAGATTCCAAGGAAGCTTGTGGAATCTTGTATACTATCCTCCGCCATCTACCTCGAAAACGTGTAAATGTATACATGTCTTCGCTCTTTTACTTTAAGTTGATACAAACATTCGTGAGAAATCGCTTATCGAGAGGGCGCCACGAGTGTTCCTCGTCACAGCCAGAGGTGCATATTGACGCGTTATTTAAGGTTTTCGACGTATGTTGTGTAAATTAAATAATTTACCGCAAAGAACGTAGAAAATCAGTAAATTATGTGATTAATATAACGGTTACTGTGTATGTTCGAGACACGGTACTCAGCAAGGTGTAAACGTCTTTTAATACGCATCAACATGTAAATATTTCCCCACACTTAGCATAAAAATACTCTTGGTTGATGTTAATGTAAAAGTAGTATCCTGAAAAAATACAGATCCTACCTTAAGATTCGGAATTAACGTATCTAGGTTTATGAAGATATAATTGGTAAGAGGGAAGTCCAGTCAAATAGTTTACATCGCGTACAAAACGCGTGACATAAAATGCCTAGTAATTTACCGTAAAAACATTACGTAAATTACTTAAGATATTTTACTTACCCAAACCTAGAGTTCTAAATCCAGTAAGTTACGTCAGAAACGAAGAGAAATTCCCGGTAATTTATCGGTAATTTCTCCAAAGCCTTCTTTATCGAGAAATTATGAAAAAAATGAATTTTTCAACAGAGCGAACGAGAGGTTTCGATTAGCTATAGAGAAACGTCGTAGAGGGGAATTTCCGTTGTACGTTCTTCGTAGCCAATCAAAACCTCCCATTCGCTTCGTCGCAGAATGAAATATCATTTGAAACAAATGGCATGGAATTTTCCGTGAAGTTGTACATACGTGAATATTTTTAGCTGGAGGTAAATACGACCCTATAATCAATATTTTCTAATAGTAATTATTACTCTTTAGCTTGAACTTTGAAGTTGATTGAAAAAAAAAAAAGTTATTTAAACGAAGAAACCTAAAGTATAAATAACGTTCTCTTAAATTCTCAATGTTCCCGGTAACTTACGGTATGTTTCACAGTTACCTTCTCCAATTTAATGTTACCGAGAATTTTCGAACTCTACCCAAACCTGCTCGCAGCTAGCAATACCGGCGAGTTCCGACCAGTGGCTATGCGGTTAACCCGCGCCCTGCTAGATGGCGCCACGTCAGCTTAGTATCAATAACACCACCAGGGCGCAGCACTGGACGCGTCGCGGAGCTCTCTATCAGCGATCTCGCAAGCATTCATGCAGAGGTAAGCAGCGGTGAGCAGTGGTAGTCCGGCTCGTCCTATTGTCATCGAGATGTGTCGCGTGTCGTGTGTCGGTGCGGTATGATACGAGGGAATTCGGAGCGCTTGAACTTTGAACGAACACTCGCAGGGTACGAGCGAGATAAACCGGCGGACGTTACAGCAGCGTTTCGTGTGCCCTTTATCGGGTTTTTCAGAAGTTGGCTCGCGGCAGAGTGGCACTGCAACAAATCGGAGCGGCAATCCACACTTGGAAGCCTCTCTCGCTCCCTCCCTATAGCGGGGCAGCCGGCGAGCAGGACGGAAGACGCGGGCCGCGGGTTCGAAAACGGGCCCGCCGGAATCTTCGAAAATCGACGTCGAATCAACGGTAAGGCGAGCTGGCCATTTAAATTGACTCGTCGTCCCTCCTCGCCCGATTTCCCATAAACTCGTTCCGAAATCCCCGAAAATTCAGTAATGATTTCTTTTTTATTAGCGACAACACCGGTCAGGTCTGTCGACGAAATAAGACAGGTTATCGCGCCGATTATCGCGGACACTCGAAGAGACTATTATCGTTCGTAATTCGTGCCTTACCCGCCTTAGCGTGGACTCGTAAAACGACTTTTTCTTTCGATGGCCATTATGGGTCGGAGAAAAAAATGTTGAAACGTGACCGAGCTACTGTAACTTCGTTGCATGTGTTTATGGATTTTGATGACAACGTGCCTCGCATTGTGATGTCATTCTAATCTGTAACCCTGGGGTAGAGAGAGCGAGCGACGATGCGCCGCTGATAACTCCCGGACTTTCTTTACGTAATTTTCTATCAATGTACTCGAGAATGTTTTCAGGCTATTGACTCGCACGTGCGCTGTCAAATTGATTACGATCGCTTTGCCAAGTTGCACGGAGGAAAATTATGGTACTGGCTTAGGTCAGTAATTATACATGCAATAATGACGATGTTTTGTCATTTGTGGATTATCGAGACGAGATTAATTTCAGATTAAATCCAGGGGATAAACAACGGAATATGACATGGTCTTAGAGCTTTTTGCCTATTGTCCGTGCATATAAAAATGGAAATCACTTTCTTTGGAATCTTAAGCGGAGGTGTAATTGTTATCGTCTCGGAGGTAAAAAATACTTTACGAGCAGGTTATTGCCTCACTCATTCACGCGTCACTTTTTGATGCAGCGATTACGCCGCGTTGCACATCAGGCACTGTAATGACGTCCTTATGCGCTAGAAATACCGGCAATAGCGGGACGATGGCAACAATAGTAAATACGAAGATCACGATCGCCATTTTTCCTTTCCCTTTCACACGAGGTGCCATTGAGCAATGCGATTGTCATGCACGCACAGTTTACGGCGTTACTCTTGGGTCGGTTTGACCTTTGAGCTTAGGGTGTGGAATGATGGTGTGTGTGCCCTGTTTGTTGTGTTTCGTCCCGGGTCTGCCTGTGTGTGGACTCGTCAGTAAGGCTATCAGGCAGACCCTGCCTTAGACACCGAAAAATCTCTCCTGTGCGGGATTTGAACCCGAGAGACTACATGGTATGAGCGGTGAGCGTAACCGCTGGGCTCTCGAAGGCCCGTGTCGAAGGAAGAACTTCTAATATATATATGCTATGACCGCCACAGACCCTTTTATCGGAACCCTTTACGTTCCCTCGAAGCCGATGAATACCGGGCCTATCTGGAAATTACCCCTCGACGTGAATGAAGTCGAGTTTCTCCGAGTGTTCTAGGAAATGCTCGTGAAACGTGAGCGTCATGGGGAATGATTAACGCCACATGGTCAAGGGGCTGACAGCCATTCACAGTCATGGCCTTAGAGGATGGCATAGAGATCGCGGCAAAAGGGAGAAGAGTGAAACTATTCTAAAAAGTTAGAGATCGTTTCATCCGGTTAAAAGATGAATCCCAGACAGAAGAGTACTTAGATATGTGCCCATAATTATGAAAGTGGACTAAGTCATGTATTTTTTGTTTCGAAATTACATTGAATTAATTTCGTTTGAAATAATATGGCGTGATCTTTTTTACATTCTATGAATATTTTATGCTGTCTGGGTTAGGAGTGACTAATTTTTCACTGATTTGTGGACAAAAGGATAAGTTATCCTTTTGTGGTATAAATAAAGTACTCACCCAGGGAATATAAATTTAAAGAATTGGTCCACGTATGTGCTTTCAAAATAGAGTAATAATGTATTATTATTATCGCACGAATTACTTAGCATGTTTTGATTTTTTAAAATAAGGGTGTATGTGAAAATGTATAAAATAATTGTTAACTTTGGTATTTCAATGTTATATTACAAACCTTTTCTAACACTTGTAGTATTTATAGAATAGTATTCCATATTTCAAATGACATGCTGAACCAATATTGTGTATATATATAAAACATTAAATATTTGGACCATATCTGGGAAACATTATCATATGTACATAATCTAATATTGTACTTAAAATATCATTCCAATGTCGAATATACATGAGGAATGTTTTCCAACTTCTTTTCTATATTCTTTAAATATTTTATGCTGTCTGGGATGGATAGTCTCGAGGGATGGCTTGAAAAATAAAGGAGGGAAATGTCTGCAAAAATATGTATTCGAAATTATTTGTAAATATCAAACGTGTTTATCCGGGGAAGCATTTCGATTTTGGCTGATCTTCAAATCGAGTAAAATTAGTTTCATGTCATGTAATGTGTGTGCGTGTTAACGACTTGTTTCCGGATTTGAGTTCGAGTAGAAAAATGTTACGGAAATATCGGAAGTTTGTTGTCTTCGCCACGTGGTCAATAAATGAAAAAAGGGAATGAAATTTGTATGCCCCCGATTTTCTTTTTTATCGCGGAAATCTGCAAAACTTTTTGGAATGCTGTTTATAGGTACTTGCAACAGCAGTATGCCATTATGCATTTACGGGGTCAGTGAACAAAGCAGGTATCATTGCAGGATGTGAGCAATATTGCGAACACACCCCTTCTCTGATGTGATTATTAACACCTGACGTCATGCAAGGTCACTCAGCCTTTCCTTCCGGAATAATTATTTGAATTAACTTTAATTTTTCGCCGATGATTTTTTTGCGAGTCAGACTCAAAATGTGCAAACCGAGAAATTTGTTTATGGAACTTTTCCAAAGTCGCGGGTGCAACATTATATCGTCATGTTGCACGCTTGAACTGATGCCCAACTTCCCACGTCAATTATTTTTAGTTACATTGGATTGCTGAAATAAATCAGCTGACGTAAAATTCGGCGCTTCTTCTTTCCTTGTGTTTCTCTTATCCGAGTCTGAATTTTTCTCTCGCTGACTCATCTGATCAAAAGTCTGAATTTCGAGATTGCTCATTCGTACGATGACATCCATTGCGCAATGTACAAGAGAATTCCGTGAAACATCGTGCAATTTGTGAATTACGCATTCACTGATTATGATGTCTGGTCTAAAGTTTACTCCAGATTGCGAGGTGCCGTGAGATTTGACATAAAAGAGAAGAAATAACAGTCCTGGGAATGTGCGAACTATATTCTGAATGGCCACGTAATCGAACATTTTCGGTAGTACACCTTATTATTTCTAATTGCAATCCACGTCAAGAATGGTTAACAGATAATAGTTCACTTAAAAAAACAAAAAAAATGACATTTTGCGTTAAGTATTAGCGTGGGAGTGAAACAGTTTTCACCATTGTAAGTACTGGACAAGAGAAAGTGAGAACAAAAACGGTAGTAAAACTTAAGTGTATCTCAACTAACGCTAAACTAAGAACCATTATAACAGAGTCTCCACATGAAAGTTACTGAAAACTTTTGAATTTTATATATTATTTCTTCTTCTTTATGAAAAAAAACGGGTTAGATTAAGAGTTCAAATAAAATGAAAAACATTCATTCGTGGTAGGAATATATTATTTAAAATAAAGACACTTTTACACACCGGTCACGTACTCTTTACCCTGTAGTTAAATATTCATTCAGAACGGTAATATGCATTTTCCTTGTTGATTCCTTCTCTCTTTTGAATACTCGTCCTATGACTCGATAGACATCTACATGTTCCAAAAATAAGACATTGTATTGTAATGCTTTTATAAATATATAGCAGACACTTACAATCGGACCACCTCTGGTTTTATTCCAAGGTTTTAACGAAGAAACTTATTATTCTTATTTTTTTTTCCGATATTACAAAGTATTCTAGCATATGCAAAAATTCCTCTTCATAGCTACAAGAAAAGGCAGATATGAAGTTTGAATTTACAAAGTCATATTCCAATAACAGTAGTAATTAACAGTTAGTCTCGTCATTAGAGAGCTTATAATGGAAAGGTGGACGTGAATCATTCCCAGCAATTTATCACTTACAAAGTCATTTTACGTTTGCGTAAGGTGTTTCACGGTGTCAACATGGAAGACAAGAAAACTGATGGGTTTGTTTTAAATCCCTTGAAAAAGAACAACAAACTTCAGTCGCAATTCTAAGCCTTTGGCGCGATAATCTTATTATGCCTGACTAGATATGGACTACTTAGGAAATGAAAATGCACGTAAAGAAGATTCATTGATCTGACTTATAAACTCTACATCCTGTTTCGCAAGTTACGTTCGTTTACAATTTCACCGATCATACAATGTAAAACACTTGTGCTAATTCATTAATCCCATTGACATAAGATATTTCCAATGAAATCAGTTTATTCGGCTAAATAAACAGAAGAGTACTTAGATATGTAAACTACTTCCTCAATTTTTTATCGTTTTGAGTAGACTCGCTAGGGGAATATTGCATTGAATTTATTCCTTTTGATGACACGAATTGTTTCCGAAGAAATTAACTTATCTAGGGGAATTGCACCGAAGATTCCTTAGAAATTTAACGATATTTTTATCATCCAGGGTAGAGTGGCTTAAAAGTCGAGGAGCTCGGTTTATTCTGCGAAAAAGAATACTTGGCTGAATTCTGACACGACTGTCACGCGTTCAGCACCGACCAATGGAATAAGCAGTCGAAGTGACGTCGGCGCGTCCACTTTCATGCTTGGATGAGACCGTCTTCCGTATGACGTGTTCTATATGAGCAAACCGAGTCAAAGCCGTTGTAAAAACCTGGAATTCTCCGAAACCTCAGCTTAACAACGCCTAATAACGAAACCACTCCACTTCTTCGAAGTAAAAAGAATATAAGAATTCGTAAAAGTACCTCTTTCCCGGATATCTCGAGAATTGTTTTAAACGTTCTCCTTATCGCCCTGCCTAGGAGTAGATAAAATTTCTATCTACTCTATTTGCTCTACATAAGGCACGCGCTTACCCCCATACCGTCGACTTTCATGCAAACGCATAACGTGAAGTGATTACTTGCATTTCGAGTTGGTAATGCGTTAAGGTGAAGTGAAACACGTCGAGAAACTTGGTCGACGTCGATAAAGAAGATTTTTTTAAATGCCTACGTTCCCGACGTTCGTTTTTATATTGACAACTGTGTCGAATTACATTGAATATTGTACCAAATTGCATACTGCACCTGTCGTTTTCGTACAATAAATATCAAGAAATCGAAGTAAAACTCCAGAAATCCTCTGGATTCAAGCTTTCTGAGGCCCCAATTGACTGCAGAGGGACACCCCGCGCCATCTGTGATTTCCAGGTCAATTAAATTTTCACTCCGAGACCCCGTATTCCCATCGTTTTAGCATAGAAGCGCATACAACACTTTTTTTACCCTTATCCTGTTCAAATGCGAGTTTATCGATTACTAGTGTTCTAAATTGTCGTAAAATTGTCCTGACCCTTTCGATTCTCATATCAGAGCCTTCGATAATTGTATATCGATCGAAATGTGAGAGCTCGACGCCATTTTGGTTCTGCTCTGGGCTGAGTTAAAAAATTTTGTTAAAAAATCCAAATTCTGAATGTATCAGGACAATTCTTAGATGATCAGGAGTGACGTGTCAAAGTTTCGGACAGTTTGGTCTAATATCCTTAAAAAAAAGTGTTGTATTCGAATCGACTGATTTGAAGGGTGTTTCACCTTAATACATTATTGATGGGCATTCCTTAAAAATCCCTTGGTTTGTAGAAACTTCCTTATAAATTATTCCGCGGGAATAAATCAAGCGGAATATCTGATTTTACGAGGGCTCCAAGTTAACAAGTAACACGGCAAAAGGTTATCGCGCTCGCGGCGGCGACGAAATTTTCGGCCTTTAATTCCTCCGGCGTATTTATCGCAGACCCTTACACCTCTATGTTTTATTCTCGTTACTTGCCAACCTTGCGCTTTAACTGACTTGCGTCACGTTAAGGTCAAGACATGCGTAAGAATTGAGGCTAGCGAGTACTGGTCCGATCGCTCAATCGCAATCTTATCGTAAACACCGTAGTAAAGGCTAAACGCTTCCTTTGGTAACATCGAAAGCTCTTGCCATAACTACTGTATTAAAAAGAAAAAAAAAAGAAACAATTCATGTTTACGCCCGTCCATAGACCGTACGCGTACTTATTTCACGCGTACAACCTCTTACCGTGAGCGCGGTACTCGCTAGGTAATTTTAGCGCAATTTACCGGATTCTGATGGCGAAACCGCGATTTTCACAGCCAATTGACCTTATTAGCTTGCCTTATTGACTTACAGCCCCGGAGATTTATACGCGTTTGGAAAGAAAAGAATAAAAGAAAACATCCTTATGGGTTTTTCAGAATTATTGATATTTGCTTGGTAACGTTGGGTCTTGCAATTTATATTCCCTTTCTTTTTCCTTTAAGGTCAAGTGAAACACGTCGAGGAACTTGATCGACGTCGATAAAGAAGATTTTTCTAAATGCCTACGTTGCCGACGTTCGTTTTTATATTGACAGCTGGGTCGAATTATATTGTGTATTGTACCAAATGGCATACTCCACCTGTCGTTTTCGTACAATAATTATAAAGAAATCGAAGTAAAACTCCAGAAATCCTCTGGATTCATGCTTTCTGGGGCCCTAATTGACTGCAGATGGACCCCCTGCGCCATCTGTGATTTCCAGGTCAATTAAATCTTCACTCCGAGACTTCGTATTATCATCGTTTTGGCATAGAAGCGCATACAACACTTATTTTGCCTTTGTCCCGTTCAAATGCGAGTTTATCGATTACCAGAGTGTTCTAAATTGTCGTAAAATTGTCCTGACCCTTTCGATTCTCATATCAGAGCCTTCGATAATTGTATATTGATCGAAATATGAGAGCTCGACGCCATTTTGGTTCTGGTCTGGGCTGAGTTAAAAAATTTTGTTAAAAAATCCAAATTTTGAATGTGTCAGGACAATTCTTAGATGATCAGGAGTGATGTGTCAAAGTTTCGGACAGTTTGGTCTAATACCCTTAAAAAAAAGTGTTGTATTCGAATCGACTGATTTAAAGGGTGTTTCACTTCACCTTAACCTACCGGGCAATCTCGGCGAATTAAGACGTAATTCCTATAGTCGGCAGCTGGAAGTGCGATAATCAAACCCGGTTTGAATCGGGATGAAAGTGTCGAGTGTATGGAGTTGAAGCTGCGGAGGGAACAGAGGGACCGGGAGGGATCTCGTAATGCGGGCTAGGGAGAGAAATCCCTCGGGAGACCCCAACGTCCTTTCAAAGTGCTCGGCGAACCGGAGAAATTAGCGAAATTGTAGCGACGAGGGGAAATGCCAGGAAATGGCCTCCCTGGGGGATGCAAGCGACATTACCGGTGGAGTAGTCGAGGAAAAATGTATAAATCCTTCTACATGTATCCATGTCGAATATGACGTTAACGGAGCTACAATAAATTCGGAGAATACACCCAGGATGAGCAATGAGAACTATTAATATTAGAAAAAAAAAAAAAAGAAGAAATTAACTCGAGGTAAGGACGTGAATTTAGTAGAACGCGAGTCTAGAATGTAATCCAGAAATTTCACCGAATGAATAAATGGAATGGACTTTTCCCAATGGTTAAGGGAATTTTTCCACTGGATTCAAATCAGTGGAAGTCTACGAGGAAAGGCATTGACGGATTTCAATTACTCGCGTTTACCCCTAACACAGATATTGCACGGGAACTGAATTTCCGGTAATTATTGCTACGGAAGCAGGGTGCACGTACACCCATCTCCTGAATGCTGGTTGCACCATTATCGGCGTAATGCGATTTATCGATCAGCATGATGTAATTTGAATTCCCTGCGGCTCGGGTGATCGTTACTCCCTGCTCGTTAAGGTAACTTACCCCGCCTGCCAGGTTCGCGTACCTTGTCAGTAAAGTAGCCTCGGTTGACGTACCTGAAATTATGGTAAAAAATTTAAATGTTACCCGCGGTGAAGGGAGACTTCTTTTTGTCGGGCGATTTCGGCGATGCCTTTACGTGCCTGTAAATTTTCCAGAAAACCGAGAACAATATCGCCCGTGCAGACTCGCCTTGTATGCAAAAGTTATGTCGCGATCCGTGACCCCGGTTCCAGTGCGCAACAAATCCTCCCCCTCGGTGCAGGAAGTGCGTTCGTTGCTTCCCCTGGACACTCTGCACACGATAATTTATATTCCTGACCCCCGGGACCTTGTGCCAGGATACCAAAACTGGTCTGTAAGTCAGATTTCGTTCTTGATAATGAGCTCAACCGAAGTCGCAGGTCGGCGATTCGCAAATTCGATCGAATCAAATGGCCGGTTAATTTTAATTGTCCAGTCGTAATTGAAAGTGATGCCCCGGTGGTCACGTTTTCCTGCCGATAGGCGCCATTGATCGTGCATGATTTAATTCATTTACCGACGGCTTTGGTTGCCACCAGAAAACATGGGATCTCGTGAAACAGCATTCGATGCATCCTAAGGACTCTTTGCGTCACTTTCATTAATTCTTGCGGTATTACCATGATAAGCAGATCAGTGAAAATTCTCAAGTAACGTTATCTTCGGACTTTTACCTTAATTTCTACCGTGAATCATCGATTTACCGATTAGTGAAATTAGGACGCTTGCAGCTTTCCAAGTTTCGGGTTATCAGAGAATGCGTTTATCTCCATGATCTATCTTGCTTATCATGTTTGATCGTACTTTTTTTTTTTTCATGACAAAACATCAGCCTGATTGCCTGAACGCTTCCACTACTCGAGTAATCAAGTATTATAATTATTCCTTGTAAAGTCGTAAATGCACAATTTATCATTATCGCATTTGAATTGCTGGATAATGCCTCTATTAGAACCTAGATAAAATAATTTGACGATCGCATTGATTTATAACGTAGACGTTAAGTCAGAAAATTGGAGAGAAAAAAATACTGTAAGGAGACTAAGTCCAATCGCATACGTATATTTAATATCGCATTTGCATTTCTGTCGGTACGGGAATATGACTCATGTAATCAAAATCCTATTGTTCTCGATGGCACGTATTACGGTATTTATGAATTTGCAATTCTCATGACTCGAGTTACCTTGGCTTTATACTGGAAGTATGAACCGGACAGATGGAATTAATCACGATGAATTTGAATATGCATCGCGTAGAAATATGAGGGAGATATACCGTGAATCCCGGTAAATTCCGATCATTGATTGGACGTATTATTTGGGGCGGTACCTTCCATTGGTTTCCATGGTTCGGATCGTTATAGGCGATTCCACGTTGCGTACGATTCTGGCGTCGCTTTATCGGGGGTAATCGATTCCGATTGACGTGCTCTTCGTTGACCACAGGTCATAGGCATGCTACCGAAATGGACGTGCGCAATCCTGAGCCTGCTGGTCTTCTCGTCGGCTTTGCGGGACTTTGAGGTCGAGTCGTTCATCGAGATGACCGAGCTGGCTTATGAAGATGCCTGCCTGGAGGCTGCCAAAGCCGAGTGGTCATTCGTCAACGACATGGACGACAGAAGCCGCGATAATTGGGTGAGAATATCGAGCAGTTCCACGAATGAATTTTCCCGACTTAAGGTGAAGTGAAACACGTCGAGGAACTTGATCGACGTCGATAAAGAAGATATTTCTAAATGCCTACGTTGCCGACGTTCGTTTTTATATTGACAGCTGTATCGAATTATATTGGGTATTGTACCAAATGGCGTACTCCACCTGTCGTTTTCGTACAATAATTATCAAGAAATCGAAGTAAAATTCTAGAAATCCTCTGGATTCATGCTTTCTGGGGCCCCAATTGACTGCGAAGGGACCCCCTGCGCCATCTGTGATTTCCAGGTCAATTAAATTTTCACTCCGAGACCTCGTATTACCATCGTTTTAGCGTAGAAGCGTATACAACACTTTTTTTGCCTTTATCCCGTTCAAATGCGAGTTTATCGACTACCAGAGTGTTCTAAATTGTCGTAAAATTGCCCTGACCCTTTCGATTCTCATATCGGAGCCTTCGATAATTATATGTCGATCGAAATATGAGAGCTCGACGCCATTTTGGTTCTGGTCTGGGCTGAGTTAAAAAATTCTTTTCAAAAATCCAAATTTTGAATGTGTCAGGACAATTCTTAGATGATCAGGAGTGATGTGTCAAATTTTCGGACGGTTTGGTCTAATACCCTTAAAAAAAAGTGTTGTATTCGAATCGACTGATTTGAAGGGTGTTTCACTTTTCCTTAATCGGGCCATTGAAAAGTGAATTAAAGTCGCAAGGACGCATCGAGTCGTCTGCGAACTCTTAAGAGCGTCTGATCATTTCTCAGTCCAAACTTGAGCGATCGCCTTTCCTGATTTTAGACAACTGCCCAGCTGAATTATGGCCTGTTCAAGAAGAACCAAACTCAGGAGATCCTCGAAAACTCCATCAAGAACGTGACCAATGAATCCTTGAAGTACAAGCACGAGCTGGCCGAGAAACCAGGCGATGCCCTGTTGAACGACGAGGACTGGAAATCGGTAAGCTCGGGAATAATTTCGTTTTCTCCATTTCTTTCTCCTCTTCTAGACTCACGATAGCCGTTTCTCGATTTCAGCTGGTCCTTTTCATCGGAGAAGCGGAGTTCCTACGGAGGACCGCCAGGTACACGGAGGAGGGGAAGGAGTTCACGAGGGACGGTAAGGCTCGCGATAACTGTCCGAAAGATGGTAATCTTAATCACGAGCCTAATTTAGTTCCCTAGACTAATTTAACCTCCCCTTTCGTTCCTTTGCAGACGTGGAGCGTTTGTTATTTCACGGCGGAACGGTCAAAGAGAAACGAGCCGCCTGGTCTTCCTGGCACAGTCAGCTGGCACCGATTACGACTAATTTCTCTAGAAGCTTGACCCTGGTCCGCGAAGCTGCCAAAGTTAATGGTTCGTGCTTCCATGACCTGGAATCAATCTAAGACGAGCCATTGGCCAACATAACGCAGGACAGTTTGCACTTCAACCCGGAAAAGAGATACGTCTCTCGTTGAGCTGATTCGAGTTCTATTCGCCGTGTTGATTACCCATTGCTGGTCATTGTGAAACTTTATTGAGACGGGTTAACGATGCTCTTGTCACTCCGCGTCAAAACATACATTCTCAACGGTGTATTGCGTTATTTTGTTTAGCATTAATCGTATAAGCAAGGTATCTGCTGAAATGATTCATTTTCTTACCGATTATTATCGTTTAAGGTATGAGCGATGAGAGAAGCTACTGGGAACTGCTGTCTGGTTATCCGAATGGGTACAAAAACGCCGAGGAACAGTGGAGGCAACTGTTAAGCCTTCATGGGAAGATCGTAGGTTTTGTGCGGTCGCGGCTTTCTGAGAAATACGGACTTCCTTTGGAAAACAACACGGTTCCGGCTTATTTACTCGGTAAGAGAATGGAATCCGTGGTTTGTCATTGTATTAAACGGTAGGAAGTTAATTCAGGGTATGCTCGACAGGATCTCTACAAGGTTTCGACTGGACGAATATAATGAACTTGATGCCCCAATCTAACCTGACCTATGAAATACGGAAAAATCTGTGGAAAAAGGTAAGAGTTACATTTGGTGGTTTCTATCAGTGATTTGTACCGCAGACATTTGGGTGTAATAATACTCAATTGTTTTCTAAGTTTCTGTTGATTAATTCGATGAAACATCTTCAGGAACTTATTGGAAGAACTTTGTACAAATCGGTCTCATCTATTGGATCGGCTGTATTAAATCAAGTACCCGAAGCTGAGTTTTGGGAAAACAGTCAGTTTAACGGCACTTGTCCATCGGAATTAATCAGTTTTTGCCGAGACGGAGAGATGCGGTACGTATACACAATTTAAAATTTCTTTTGATATTTTATGTGTACTGATCAGATGGCCAGTAGATTAGCAAGAGAATAATGCTGCATTAACCTTTGCACTGGAATTATATATTCCTAATGAAATCTTTTTAATATGATAATATCCTTCATAATGAATTCATATACATAACACTAATGTAATTACTATATTAATGTAATTTCAGAGTTTCAACGTGTTCTGAAGCATCCATCAGTAATTACCTTGATGCTCATAAGAACGTTGCAAAAATCTTGGTGAACCAAATGATGGCAGATCATGCGTCAATGTTAAGTACTGCTAATCGATATTCAGGTAAATGTTTCTATAGTTTTTCTCTAGTTTGGTATTTACACATTTTTAGTTATTATCATATTAATTAACATTCATTTCTAAACAGCTCTCGAGGAAGCTATGGCCCAATTATTCGCGATATTATCAGTGAGTCCTGCTCAACTGCAATCTCTGGGTTTAATCAGGAGCACCAACGGTACCGAAGAATTACAGATGTTGTCATTGATGATCACAGCTTTGGATGTTTTGCCATCTGTTGCTTATTACTTGTCCGCGGATTTGTGGAGAATTAATGCTTTAGAAAATGAAACTATCAGTTCTGATGATCTTATTGATTCTTGGTGGAGACACAGGTAGGTCTTTTTGTAAAAATGTAATCTGAAGTATTGAAAAGAATAAAAATATTGCGAAATGCGTGAAATTAAAAGGTGATTAATTTGATCAAAGGTCGGAATACGAGGGCGTTGCATCTGACTCACTGGATCCACCCACTTTTCTGGATGACAGTTACATCATTAGTAACAAACCTTATCTTCCGTACGTATTAGATTTCAATCCAATTGAACACGTTTCATAAACAGCCTAAACGTTTTTCTTTTTCGGCTGTACGTATGTGCCATAAGCTGTGCTTCTTCGTTCCATGATAAATTTATATTTAATAATGTAAAATTGGTGATTAATTTCAGTAGATTTCAAACGATGAATTACACAAAATAGAGAAGTTAAATGGATATGTTTTTGCAGGAAATTGGTCGGGACGATTCTCGCATTCCAGTTGTATGAGTACATAATGGAATCCACGGAAGTTCGATACAGTCACGTCGAAGCAAATCGTCCAAACCACGCCCTAGTGTAAGTATAAGTTAATTGTTAGACGCATCTAAATAGCGAAACGTTCAATGATTTACTACGCAGTAAACCGAGAAATCAGCAGAATAATCACGGTGTTGCGAAGGCTAAATGTTTCATAATTAACTCATTGACCTCCAAGTAAGTTCCCTACAATCTTTTAACCTGTTTATATTTAATATCTGCAATTCTTGTTGTGCAGAAAAATGATTCAGTATGGTGGTGTAGAGAATTGGATGGATCTTATACAGAAGCACCTAGAACTGGACGAAATCTCGGTAGAATCCCTACTTTCATTCCTCCTACCATTGGAAGAATACATTGAAAGGGCGAATGACGAGCTCGAAGATCTGCCGAAAATCATCACAGCGGATCAAGAACGGGAATTTCAGAGGCTGGAACAGATATATCGCGAACAAGCACTTGCTCCAAAAACAACGACGATAAGCACTACACCTACGACAACAACGACAACAGCAAAAGCAGTTCCAAGCAGCGAGACGCAAACTAAACCACCACTTGACTTAAAATCCGACTCTAAAACAGTAACCAACGAGCAAGCGGATAAGCCGAGCAACGTCGAAGCTGCAAACTCTACGACAACTAATGAAAACTCTTATGAAAATCTGTCAAAATCTTTTGACATGGATGACGAAAGTGAGGAGGAACCAAAGATGAATACTAGCAAAGCAGTTTGGGCGGTAGCAGCTGTTTTGGTGGCGACGGTAACGATTTGCGTGATTGCAATTTTTGGAAGGCGAAGGTGTCGCAAAACGCCAAAAAATAGAAGATACGTTTAACCACGATTTGCCGTTGGCTCCTAATTGTGAACATTTTCTCCACGTCGTTTGAAAGTGATCCCCGACCGTATGAATAGTAGCCAAAGAGAATGAAACGTATCAAGACTTGGGACGGTCAGTTTTCAAAAATGAGGATGTGGAATCGGAGACTCCATCTAGGAATTGTCCTGTGAGGTTGTAAGCGTATAACCTATGTACTTCAGACATTTCTTGATGTCGAGTTTCGATTTCATCCCGGTGCCAATTTTTTCCGCAGGTCCTACACTTATACGACGATTTAATATTAGACATTCCTAGAGATTTATGCTTTGAAATATTTCGATTCAAAGTATATTAAGCTGACGAATGTGTCGTTGAAATGAAGCGTTGATTTTGAAAACGCTATATTTGCTTGGCCTCGCTGTAGTTACCAGAAATTGGTTTTGAACGTTTCATCCCAACAAAAATGCAACAGATTATGCCGTGATGAAGTGCGGAGTTTAGTACGCGTTTTACGTACTCAATGACTGTATAAGAAGGAACATCAGTTTCTTATAATGCTTGAAATTGAAATATTTCAATACGTACATCACATATTACTTACTACCACTATTTGGTCGCTAGCGAACGATGGCTGTAATAACACAAGAGAATTTAATACTTTTAATGTTATATTCTCCCATTATTAATTTGGTGCATAGTAACTGTGCACTGAAGAGACAACTGTTATAGGCTGTCATTACGACCGTTTGTTCTGCGTATTAATTTATAATAAACAGTAGTATGGAACTTGTAAATGTTCTGCAACTTAACAAACGTGCATGTTTGGTTTCGTATCAATTTACAATTTCTCAAAATGGTAATTGCTACCCACCCTGCAATTTTTCTTAGGACAATAAGATACGATGCGCATAATATACTAAATGTACACGAACATAAGATTATAGACACGTAAAATCATACTTCGTAAAAATGTAGTATACGAGTCATAATACGTGGAAACTAATCAATATATACATTTATACCGGTCTCCAGAATCCGTGGAAAAACTTCGGAATATTTTGAGTCACCTTCACATGTTAACTTTCCACGAACAGCTGCACAATTCTTAGTGTCATTATGTCATAAGTTGTTTGAGCTGGAGCGCTTCCTTTTGTTAAACGTATTTATGCCTCCAGAGAGAAAATGACATGTTCGATTGCAAGTTCAACAGTATTTTAGTAGTTTGGTGTAGGTTTTTGCAATTTCCTATTCGCCACTGCAGAATAAGTAATGGATGTACAAACTGTTGCACTTTATCAACTTCCACGCGTGTTTTTAAGTAAACTTGGTAAACCATACAGTTGCGCTTTATTCGTACAATTGTGTTCGTTTCTAGAGAACTTTGTATGATATAGATTCGAAGTGAAACCATTCACGCACAAAATAAGTTACTTATACATGGGTGTTACTGTCCATCATGTTCTTGCAATTGATCTCCGCGATGTTCAACATATGTTCTCTAAACTACCTCGCGAGAGAAATTCTACAGATTCAGGAAAATGATTATGTAACCGAGTCATTTCGAATATTCACTGTTTGGTCAAAGAGATTCTTTCTCTCTATCAAATCGCTCAGCATATTATACCGTAGATGTAAGTAGTACAAACTAGAATATAAAAACGTTTTGTATTAGTTTTAGGAGAAATATTTACAATTCGTGGGTCAAACAAGAACTTTCCTAACGTACAGTGGATAATTGTGTAGACACGAAGTCGTGACAGTGGTGTTCTTAAGTACTCTTCCTCAGAAGAACGAACGGAGCTTAATACTTTGTAATTTATACATTTTTAAATGAAACGATATTTTGTAATCTGGTATTTTACATTAGTGGAAGGTATTGTGTAACAATCTACAGGTTTATTACTATGTAGTACTTCTGAAATTAGCGATTCAGAGTAACATGTAAATATTTGAGTAATCGTAGTATGATGTGAAGTGAGTATACATGTGTAGGTAATAGAAATCTTCAAATGTCAAAAATATCGTGAGTAATCATCTAAAAGATCATATTTACCTATGTCTTAATTATGTCCCGTCTACGCGCATGTTATTTATTATGCAAATACATTTCGTTGATGATATATATTTTTATAAAAATATTTATTTTGTATCAGCATGGAAACGAAATAACACACCAACTACAGAATTACCGATCTTTACTAATTTCGTTTCACATTGGTTCATTTCACCGTACATAATTTCTTATTTCATACAGTAAATATGGCAAATGAAAAGTTTAACCGTTCTAAGGTCTACCTTTATATTAAAACATACGTTTTTCTTGTTTAAACGTTTCAAATTCCCATTCTCTATGCAGAAGGAAAAACTAGAAACGATCGACGGAAATCTGAGCCTCCTATTTCGTAATCACTTACGGTATTTCATCCCACTGGGTTATACAACTTGCTGGATATTTATTTAATCAAGTAAGTTGTAAAGCCTTGCGCATTATTTATTTTTAAAACGTGACATTTATAAATGGCGCTATCAACCGTGTCGGCCATTTTTCCCAACCAATACGCGATTAGCGCGAATACACCTGGAACTCTGAAGCTAATAGATTTTCTACTTGCAAATACATTTGATTGTATGCGAATAAATGTTCTTCGTTGCCATGCATTTACTTTGACACGAGCATACTACTTAATTTTTTACATTAAACGGGTCCGATTAAATCTAGCGCTGCAATCGAGTCGCTAATTTCTGTAGAATTTATACAGACCCAAACATTGAGAAGCCCACTTTATCAGTTTATACGAAAATATATTATTACATTACAATAATAAAATATAACTCAAGAAATAATGTAGGGTAAGTCCGGGATATATGGACCACCGGTATTAACGGACTAGTCGAATATTTGCTGGTCTGTCACAGTAGCGCTGCAGTCGTTGTCTGAAGTTGTTCTTCTTGAGTAGACGGAACCACGCTTAGTTTTGCTCGTGAGTTTCATGCGTATTTTAGAAAAAAACTTTGTTTATTTCTTTTGGTGAGTTGAAAAATATGTTATACTGGATTTATTTGATATGTGGTTAAGTTAGTTTAAATGATTTCGACGTAAGATCAATCCTATAACTCAAGTGTATACTTGAGTACAATCTTAACCTAAAATGGCATGCTGGTAGCGTTGTTTGTCTGGACGGGAAGCTGGTCCATCTATCCCCGACAATTGGGATAAATGGACTACTTGAAAAAACCTGGGATAGGGGGACCATATCTCCTATTAGGGCTTTACTTTCTATATAAATGGAATGGTACTTATAAAAAAATTATTTTAAATATAAAGGCGTATCCTGATAAGTTCGGGTTTTTTGCTGTTATAGAAAAATGCCTACATTTTATAAAAGAAAAGGCACGTTTGGGAGAGGTGAATGGTCTGAAAACAGTTTGAAAAATGCAGTCAAAGCTGTTAAGAATAAGGAAATGGGAGTTAATGCTGCAGCAAAAGCGTTTGGCATACTGAAAACCACTTTAAAAAGGCGCCTCAAGTCACAGAGTTTTAATAAAGGTTCCATGGTGTGATTAGTGTAACAGCTGGAGAAGTGCTTACTATTGTTCAAGGTCATATATATATATTATAAAAAAATATACCAAATCCTAGACATTGCGAAGTTTCAGAAAAAATGACTTTAAAAAACATGGTCCAACTATCCCGGACTTACCCTATATATCATAGCGGGTCGAGGAAGGAAAATCCGTTTTCTCCTCATCCATAACGTCCATTTATCTGTCAGATTTCTCTCGATGTTACCCTTTGCCATCACTAGGGGACCGTTGCTAATTGTGAGAGTACGTCGTCTGCGTGAACGGGATAAAGAGAATTTTGTCACGCGATTTGGACTGAATTATAAAGAATCAGCGCCAAATCATACACGCAACCAAAGACTTATGACACATGCCGTCTGGTATGAAGAAATTCGCGTTAACGTCTAAGCGTGTTCAAAAAACGACTCCAAGTTCCCGGATTTTGGCCGGTGTACCTAATTGGCAAATAAATCGCAAACTCTAATCCAAAGGCGCACCAAAATGCAGACGAACGCCAGCGCTTAGAAATCCTTATTTGTATGCATGCATTGTTCGCGATGCACTTGTACATACACGACCTCCCGAAGGACACGAAACAAGAACCTCTTCATCCGCTGCAATTGGCAGTCCATTGTAGACCGAACTGAAATCTGCAAAAATGGCGAAAGAGGCCGGGTGCATGGTCCTTAAAACCGTTCATGTCGTTCCGAGGCTCTAAAAATAACAACAATGCAGCAGAAAGAACGTACTTAAACCCGAAACGGGCCGCCATATTTTCGTAGTATCTTCCGAAAATACATGCGCCTAATAACGAAGTCGAGCGACGCAGGAGGTTTCCACCACCTAAAGACTGCATTCTCGCCACCCTAACTGAACGTTAATAATATTATATACAACAAATATTATTCACGCAAGCTTATAACCGTTTTAAAATTATATTTTCGGCTTTTAAAATCGTCCTCGAATAGCTAACACTAACAAGGAAACATTCCCAAGTGGTCCACCCCGATTTTGATAATTTTTACATATGTTGTAGAACCTGAAAATCTAAGGGACACATACTTTTTGTTACGTGCTAGGATTTATATCTAGGGGGTGAAACAACCCCTCAAAGTTTGATGAAACAATCGATTCTTTTTTTCTTTCCATAGAAGCACTCCACGGATTTCAATGAAACTTGGCATAAATATATCTAGTGTAAAGAGGATCCAGAAACGATACCACCCTACACGGTTGCATCCCCTCAACGGGGGTAAACTACCCTTATCAATCGTGTTTTCTTTTTTTTTCGGCGACAAATGATCCGATCGAAATAAAAACTGTATATCGTTAATGCTTGCATTAAAAAAGAATTTACGTGCTTTTGGTTTTTTTCGAGAAACCACTATTTGACACTATGAATATTAATCAAGGCTAGTGTTTTTTATATAAACACTAGACGGATTCACATGAAATTCGGTGCGAATATATTTCGTGTCCGTTGGGTCCATAAACGGTACCGTCCGACACGGGAGCATCCCTCTAAAGGGGTGAACTACCCTTTAAAAGAAAAAAAATTTTTTTTTCGAAGGCGATTCTTCCTACTGGAATAGAAATTTCACGACGATTTTTTCAACAAACCTCTGACAAGGACGCCTTGCGACGCTAGACGACCTCTGCCGGTGAAGCGCTGACGTCGATGATGTCACGTCGGTCGCGCTCGCTGATTGGCTGTTGTCGCCAGCGCCTGCGCGACCGACCAATCGAAACCGCCCGCCCTCGAGTCTGGTCGCCCACGCTTGCCCACTTGCCTCACGGTCCATGTGCAATGTACTAATCTCGTCACGTCACTGATTGCTATCGTTCATCGAACTTGACCGAGGACGGACATTTGTAAAAAATTCCGATTCTCGTGACACTTTAATCCGGGATTCGCTCTTTTTGGACCGCGTCAATGGGAAGTCGTAGGTCGTGGACGCAGATCCGCATCGAGCTTGCGCTAAGTGCATCTAAATTCAATTAAATGATAACGCGTGTTACAACACTTATGCAGAAAATACTTTAGATGCCATCGAATCTGTCCTTCGATTTATGCGATTTTATTATTTGATGAAATTTCGGGTAAATTGTTGTTTTTTGTGTCAGAAATACACGTTTTCACGAAAATTATAATACGTCTTTTATTTCGTCTTTTAAGGATTTCTCTGAAACATGTTTCTGATATTCCCAAGTAACAATGATATGAAGATAAGAGTGAAATTGTATATAATCGTCTGTCATGCGTCACTTTTGAGAAACGCTGTCAATATCGTGGAATCTCGTCACGTCACAGTTGACGTTGACCCCGTAACGGTTATTTAAATAACAATTATTGTTCCGATTAATATACATAGCAATAAGAAAAGACCTAGATTCGTTGAAAAATAAGTCTGTCGATGTTTTTAAGACTGGTTCGCAGAAATCTAATGCAATTAACACCCTTAACCTAATTAAGGCATTTCAGAATTTTTATAACAAACAGGTGCGTAAAAACGCTACATATATTCTTACGTTAATTATGTTTTTTAATTTCGAATTGAATTTTAGTTGCGTGGATTTCTTTTAACGTACGTGTATAGCAATTCTTGAAATTAATACCTTGAATGAAGGAACTTGTATTTTAGTCATTATTATACCAGTTTACGTGGCAAATTCATTACAGACTTGAAGAAACCGCTAGTAGATAATGACTACAAAGGTCAGACAATACGCGTCAAAATTGCATTTCTTTAGAAATGAACATTTCCAGCAGCTATGAAGATTCCCTTTTTGTTGGTACTGCCGTGGACCCTGCTATCTTTAAGCCTTACACCCTGCACGGAGATGAACAAATCCTTAAAATACTATTCCAAGTCTATTCGCAAGAAAAACTGTAACGATTCCGACCCTATTGAGATATCGAGTCGCTTACCAGAAGATGTTATCCCCTCGAAGTACATCATCGCAATTTCTCCGGATTTCCTCAAAGACCAATTTCATGGGGCCATTCAAATCGACTTTTGTGTGCAGAAGGTGTAGTAACGTTACAATTTACGCTTAAATTATATACCAAATCTTTAATTAACTTCTTCCTTTCCAGGCAAGAAATTTTATCGCCCTTCACTCTAAGAACTTAACGATTACGTCTACGAAGTTATACGAGATGACCGACTTGGACCACGATATTCCAATAGAGTCAGTTTACCCCGTAGACAAGTTTGACATGATAATCATAAAAGTTACAAAAAAAATCCAAGGCGATTTCGCGCTCAGAATTAACTACAGTGGGTCACTTACGAACAAAATTAATGGCTTCTACTTAAGCACTTATAGAAGGGACAAAGATGAAGACTTAAGGTTGAATAAATTCTTATTCTTTCCCCATACCTGCCCTAATTACGCGATTATGAAACTGTATTTTATACCGCAGGAAATTAGCGGTGACACAGTTTGAGCCTGTTTATGCAAGGAAAGCTTTTCCCTGCTTCGACGAACCCAATTTGAAAGCGATATTTCACGTGCGGATTGTTTTCTCCTCTTGCGGTGACTATCATGCACTCTCAAATATGCCACTAATGGTAATTCATAAATTACTCAATTAGGAAGTTTAAGAACGTTATCGCGATTTCATTAACGATATGATTTCTGAGATGAAAGCATCTTTTTGGTATGAAACTTCCTATGACACGATAGTACGTGTAAATTTGCATGTTATAAAAGGAAACCATTTTGGAAAGTCAAATGCTTTTTTTCATTTACTTACTACCTGCATTTATCTTTATATTTCCGTATTGACACAGTTTGCGTAAGATTGACTTTTACAGTTCATTATCATTTACATTCATCTTTATGTATTGATACCGAGAGAGTCTACATAAACGTTTTTATTAGCATTAGTGAGATATTATTAATAATACTTGTTATTAACACGTTCCCTGCCGCGTGGGGCGTATGCGCCCCACGCTGAACTTTCCGTTCAAGCCATTTGGTATTATCATTGTAAAATGAAGAATTTAAAAAAAATTTATTATGCAGTCAATTATGGGCATCTTAATACTATTGCTGATGCGTTCATTTGATCGTGGGGCGTATACGCCCCTCGCGGCCTGAACGGAAAGTCTTCAAAAAACGGTCTGGCGGGGAACGTGTTAAGAGTTATTATTAATAACCCAACAATTAATAATTCTCTGTAACAAAGGAGTTTCACTTTCAGCGCACGTAGCGGCGACGTATCGGTTTCCTTTTAATTGTCTATCTTTATCTTTATCTTAGAAAGTCGAGAAACCTATGAAAGGCAGCGATTTATCGATAGCCACCTTTGTAGCTACTTTACGTATGTCTACGTACCTGGTAGCTTTCGTCATCAGCGACTTTGTAGCTACCACATCCAGCGTTACCGATCTCAATGGTGCAGACATTCCAGTTAGTGTCTACAGTAGAAAATCTGACAAGGACAAGACGCAATTTGCTTTGAACGTTGCCACCCAGGCAATGGAATTCTACATGAACGTCTTTGGGATCAACTATCCGCTTCCGAAGATTGGTATTAATCACCTCGAATGAATGGACTCATAATATTCAGTTTATACGACCGAGGCCAATATGTCGAAGTCGATATCTCCATATTCTTAACACATTCGCGACCGGCAAATTTTTTCCGTTTCAAATACTGAGTACCGGCGAAAATAATGACATTCTGAAATTGGTTGCCGCAAACTTGTATCGTGTATCGTCTCGGACCCAATGAACACCAAACCTAACAGTTACGTAACTTAAAACTAACAAATAGCATAACGTTTGTTACGATGTAATAACCTAACAGTTACGTAACATAGAGCTAACTAGTTACATGACATTTGTTACAATGCAATAACTTAACGGTTATGTAACATGGAGGTAACATTTGTTACTATCATATCTATATAAATGTAGCGTAACTTTGTTACTCTCATCTTAAATTATGTTACCGTCCTGATATTACTGTGTATATACAGCACATATTCATAACAAAACGGAACTACATTGGTGCTAACTGTCATTTATTTTATTACATCATCGTCATCGTCATTGTCATAATTCATCGTCAAATGTCACAAGATTAATATATGTCATATTTTGTTTACTACTCGTATGAAAAAATGTGACATTAATTCATACGCGCACATACATTATCGGTCATTGTTTGCTAGTCGAATGAAATCCTAATTGTCTTTAAGTAAAATCAGATAGTTTCTCATTACATAATTTCATTGAAAGTCTGATTTGCCATTTAATATCTAACTATTGTCAAGTACCAAAAAATAATTAAAAGTAAAAAATTATATAATTCTGGATAAAACTGCGTGATCTTTTTTATTAAATGTATGAAAAATTAATATTATTTTAAGGCAACTGAAATTATAACATTAATATAACATGTTACATAACATAACTTACCGACTGGGAAATAATAGCTAACATCTAACTTCCATGTTACTTTTATGCTACATAACATGTTAGTTTCGAAAACGTAACATTTACCTAACAGTTATATAACAGTGTTCACTGGGGACGTGATTCACGTCAGCGGCAAACAGGAATAAAATTTAAAATGACGTGAATTCACGTCAGCCGCCACCAAGAATAGAATTTGAAAAGACGTGAATTCACGTCAGCGGTCGCGAATGCATTAAGAGAAAGTCAATTTGTTTCGCAGGATACGTGATACATTTTTCTGTATCGAGTCTTCCTCTCACAATTTCATGCACTTTACGCCCTTCTTCGAAGATACACCTTATCTGGCCGTCTAATATAACAAGAGTTTTTCGTTTTAAAATTAGCTTTGTCTCCCTTCTGCAAGAAACTAATAACAATAATATAAACTCGAGTAATAATGTATAATTTACAGGTATCAGGATATATTGTTAATCTTCATGCCTTCTTCGGGTATAATCAGACTCGAGCCGATTTTCTATTTTGGTACTTCTTTCTTTCTTTGTAATGTTTTTAATTACCTAAATATTAATTACATAAATAAATTTGCGGTATTAGCTTCCTATTTTATCCCCATGAGTTCATTTGAAGCAAATGGCAGAAAACGATGTAAAAGTGAAGGATAACGTGAAGAAAATTTTCGAAATTTAGATATAGTAGCGATTCCCGATTTCGAAGCGGGAGCCATGGAGAACTGGGGATTGATCACCTTTCGGGAAACGGAAATACTATACAGCAAGAGTCACAGTTCCTCGGGGAACATGAAAAGTGTTGCTCTTACGATGGCACACGAACTCGCACACATGTGGTTTGGAAATCTGGTGTCTCCAAAATGGTGGAACGATATTTGGCTGAATGAAGGCTTCGCCACCTTTATGGAGCACGTCGCCGTGGATTTTATCTTCCCAGATTGGAACCAGGTTATCATCGATGTAGTATCATCCCAAAATAATTTTAGAAGTTCAGTACCCAGGAAAGGCATCCGATATTGTGTTCAATTGTTTTGCAAATTCTATTTGACAAAAAAGGGCATAGTGCTTACAAATTTCGTTGTATCGTACAGAGAGACATGTTCGACCTAGAGACCAAATTTTCGACCACGTTATCATCGATTCTCTAATATCACTTCAATATTATCTTAGAAATTAAATTCCCAGTAAATCCAATATTGTGTCGTAGTGTTTAACAAATTCTATTTGACAAAACAGAGCTTCGTTCTTTTGTATAGAGAGATACATTTGCTCTGGAGACGAAATTTTCAACAATGAAGTACGACAGCAAGGAAAGCGCACATCCGATCGTCCATCGATCAGAAGACCCCAGCGAGATCCAGCAAATGTTCGATCACATTGCTTACCAAAAGGTGCGACCAACTGAAAAAGAGATATTCATTAATGTGAGCCAAACTCGAGATTTCTTCAGGGTGCAGCGGTCATTGGGATGTTGGAGGATGCCATGGGCAACTTTAAATTTGTCTTCGGCATTAGGAATTACTTGGAGAAGTACCAATTCGGTAGCGCTTCCACGGCCGAATTGCTTGAGATCCTTCAAGGAAACGTACATATAGGAGTTAACATTGTTCATTTGATGGACACTTGGACTAAGTTTCCTGGATTTCCTGTGATCAATGTGTCCCCATCCGGTACGAACTTTCGCCTATCGCAAAAAAGGTTCTTTGGATCAGGAATCGAGTCCAATAATTCTCAGTAAGTTCTTGTCGCACATGCATAAGATATATGGCAAATAATCTGATACAAGTATTCGTATTAACGTATAGGCTGATATGGGACATCCCTATAAAATACGTAACCAATAGGAAGGAGGACGAGGTCCAATTCGGCTGGTTCTTGGCGAACAACTCCTGTGGTTAGTTCCAGAGTTCAATTTTAATGATAAATTGATAAATTTGAAAGTATTGCAGTGTTTCTAATGGGTTACAGCTGAATTAATTTTGGAGGATCCAGTAGAGTGGATCAAACTTAATCATCACTCGGTTGGCTATTATATTGTTAATTACACGGAGGAAGCATGGAGGTCCTTTAGTGACCTCCTTATCAATGACTTCAAGGTTCCGTTATCTTTTATGCTATTACATTTATTTGTTGTTCTTTTCGTGTAATATCTCTGAAAATTAGAGAAAACATCGCGAATCTATAAAAGCGATTTTGTGTTTCATCGTAGGTCCTGGATCCCCTTGATAGAGCCGATTTGCTTCACAACGCTTTCCTTTTGGCTGATGCTACTCATCTCGACTTTTGTGCAGCTCTGAATCTCACAACTTATATGTTTGACGAGACATCTCTTCAGCCTTGGGTTGTCACTGTCAATTGGATCGTTCATGCGGATAGATTGCTTCGAGGAACAGAAATTCATCCTCAATTCCAGGTGACATTATATTTATAGCTATCTTCTTTAGTCTAATTTTTATCAACTGTTTTATATTTTTCATACAGTGCTATGCGCAAACCCTCCTTGACGCCATGTACGAGAAAGTTGGTTGGAAAGTTGATGACAATGATCTTTTGATCGCAAGGTCAGTCCGACATTGCATCCATGCATTTCCCTTTGATCAAATTTAAACAAAAATGTCAAGTTAGGGAAAAAATAAAGGTCACTTTAAATCTTGAAATTCTTTATGATACCTATTTAAATTGATTTTTTTATCATTTATCGAATAAAAGGTTACTGTAGTTCTGATTTGAGCTATGTACAAATCAATTTCTATTGTTTTGTAAAGGCAACTACGGACTGTGATTCTAAAGGCAGCTTGTAATATCGATCATAAAGGATGCCTTAAAGTTGCAAAAGATATGTTAAACGACTTCATCTGTAGTAACGGCACGCGACGACCTCATCCTGATCTTCGATCTATCGTTTATTCTTACGGTGAGTAAATATAGCAAATGTGGTTACCTATATCCGTATTAATAATACAGAAATTACATACTCACGATTAAATGATTCTTGAATGAAATGGATTTTAACCTTCTTCCAGTGAAAAAATGCATATGAGCCGTTTATTTTGAAAGGGGTGTAAGTCCATTTATGTTCGAATCGAGATATTGAAGGGTTTGCATTGGATTAAATTTAAAAATATGGGCAATAGATAACATAGTAGAATAATGTTTTTGGTTTTCTGAGGGTGTGAAATTTATCCCATCCCAATTAGCATAATTAACATTATTTAAGAAATAATATATTTTTGATGGCTATAAATGGACTTACGTCACTTTCAAAATCAATGAAACGACGTTTTCAATTCTTAAGAAAGCTCAAGTTCTTAGGAAAAGTAACTTTCCCTTGAAATAAAAATAAATGTATACACTTTTATGTTATAAAATCAAAAAAATATTCAACTTTTATTCTTTGTTAAATAATTTTTACGTTAAAATTAATATTGTTTTATTAATTATTATTCAGTCTTCTCCAGTTTGTGTATGCGGGAGGGATTTAAAATAACTATGGAGTGCAGGTGGTATATAATGTAATAAATCCATTAAGTCCTTGTATTTTAGGTTTATGAGTGGTCTCGTTTTTTTGTACAGTGGTGCCAACTTGATATTGTTAAAGTTTTTCGGGTTTCCCCGTTGCGGTGATAAATCCAATGTTTTGAATGGTGCATCCTCGTTCGTTGTCGTTTTGTAGAACAACTTATATGGATCGCTTCTCAAAAATCTCATCCAACATATTTTAAACGAATTTACTCTTTCACCGTCAGTTTTGATTTTTACATTGAAATTCATACTCGAAGATTCACAAGTTTTCTCCTGGGATATTTTAATATATTCAATATTCTTATACAGTTTCTTTGCAATTTAATTTGTTATAAACAAATTCTTAACAAATTGCTGAAAATTACAATGGCATATCCGGAGACCCGTATGAATTCGTTAGCGGATCGAAAGTGAAATTTGAAATTAAATTGTTTATAACAAATTCATTGCATATTGATAATTCAACTGCTACTTTGATATTTAAATATAAAGCTGAGATCTCATAAAATTTTGTTGCATAATATTTTCCATATCCATTTGGAACTCTCACAATGGGACTTACACGACTTTAAAAATAAACTTTTTCATCACTTCATTAACCCAGCAAATTTTCGTGTTACAAAATCTTAATGTTTTAAAATATATTAGTAACAAGTTGCTTCGGAATGAAAAGATCGTGCAAAAATGTAACTATCAAGGTAGTTAACTCGATCTGTTTGAAAAATAGACTTACGCCAGTTTCAAAATAAACGGCTCATATGCACTTTAAAATTTCAGGAGCTTCAGAGCAGGTAGTTAAGTTTGATAAACGTTTATTTTTAAGTGTAGGCCTCGTTTCACTTGAAAATGACACCAACAAGATGTTCAACAAGATGTGGGAGTTTTTTATTTTGGAAATTGATGTTCAAGAAAAGGAGAGGCTATTAAATGGCTTGGCCAGCGTTCGAGATCGTAAACTTCTAATCAGGTTAGTAGTTTATTTTGCACGTAAATTTTTCCTCAAATACCGACAATATAAAATTTTATTTAACAGATATTTGGATATGATAACAAACGAAAACTTGGTACGGCGACAGAATTTCTTCGAAGCCCTCTTCAAAATCGCCCTGAATCCAATTGGTCTTGACATAGTGTGGAACTTCTTCAGGTAGTATTAAAATTTACAATATATAAATGATGACTGAATACAATTTTGTGGAAATATATTTAAACGAACGAAAACTTTATACTCCTATTTTTAGACACGGTTGGGAAAACTTAGTGGAAAAGTATACTCTGAATGATTTGTCTATGGGGCTTACGATAGGATCAACAGTGGCTCTCTTCAAGAATAAAGAAAAACTCGAAGAGGTGTGTTCGATGAGCCATCAGTTTTGTTAAGACTAAATACATGTTGAAATATACTAGAAGTGATATATGTTTTAGGCAAAGGCCTTCTTCCAGAAATACCCTAATGCAGGTGCGGGGGCAAATGCAAGGAAAGATGCCATCGAAGAAGCAGAAAACAGTATTCGATGGCTCTGCATAAATCTCCAAAGAATCACACGATGGCTCGAAAATAATGGCTTTGCTGAAGTGCACTGAATATCGCTTCGAATTCTGTTTCGTTCCTAAACATACTATATCATTGTAGTATTAGATATAAAGTCATTCTTTCAATTTATCGTGAAGAACTTATGACGACCAATTATCAAATATCAAATACGAAACGATTAGAATAAAAAGGTTATATAACAATTCGCGATCTTTTAGTGTTTAGACATGTTATTATTCTGGATTAAAACTAATTCATCGAACATTTCTTTTTTAAAATACGAAACATTGTGTACGTTAATATATTCTCTAACGTCACCAATAAGCTATACAAAAAATCAATGTTAGAAGACAAGAATATTTTTATGTGTTTAACATTCTTCGACAATACAAAAATGTCTTAGATGGAAGTTCGAACATAGTCTTCCGATAGTGCCTTCCATAACTACTCCTTCTTGTGTGTAAGTCTTAGCTAGGAGGCTACCATTAACACGTTCCCTGCCAGACCGTTTTTTGAAGACTTTCCGTTCAGGCCGCGTGGGGCGTATACGCCCCACGATCAAATGAGCGCATCAGCAATAGTATTAAGATGTCCATAATTGACTGCATAATGAATTTTTAAAAAATTCTTCATTTTACAATGATAATACCAAATGGCTTGAACGGAAAGTTCAGCGTGGGGCGCATACGCCCCACGCGGCAGGGAACGTGTTAAACAATGAGTCCAAATGAGTCTTATGACAGCTATCTGCCGGTCCTGATAGTTCTCAATCAATCAAAACTATTTTTATATAAATACTCGGCTATCTTTTAACAACACTTTCTCGTAAAGTAAAACCTTGTAAAAGTATGCGATTGACATTAAACGCAGCAGAAACCAAGTTGCCGTTGACTGATTGCTCGCGGTATCTATCAATAAAGGTCAAAGACATCTCAGAAAATTACGATTTAATTAAATTAAATATAAATTATTTTTATAAAAAAAAAAGCACGCGATCGACCTCTTTCTATGAAACGCATTTCAAATAGCTCCAGACCAGCTGTCAAATTCTGACGTAACATTTGCGTTTCGACCTTGTCCTCGAAACTGATTTCGTTAGTCATCCCAACTGTCAGAGAAACTCTTGGGCATAATGATGACGTTATCAAAATCTATTTCACTGGTCACGACTGATACCAAGGTGGTCAGAATAAACAGCCCACAACCGAGACGGCCTATCGCAGACCATGTTTGTTCATACGAAAGATACAGAAATGACTTGTCAAGGAATAACACTTGGACAGACCAATGTGGACGGTTTCTTCAAGGAATTCTACTGGTATCCGTCCTGAAACGAAGACCATCATGGAAGGAAAGATTTTATACGCTATGGTCGCCCATTGGGAAAAAACAGGATACAGAATCGTCGCCGATCATCCCGTGGACCAGGCACTGACCTATCGTAATGTCGCTCTAGCAGCGATCGAAAGTGCTCCACCTTCGGAGGAAAAATTCAGCACGGAGCAGGGAAAGTAAGGAAAAACTTATGTTCTAATATAAAACATAACGATACAAAAGTACTAACTCATCCCTGAGTTTTGACAACTGACACGTTTGCCCTGAACGGGAAACATCCAAAATGGCAGCATGTGAAAATCGACGTCTTCCATGACGTCAGAAAACGGAAAAGTACTGTTTAATGTAGATAAAAGTACTGTTTAATGTAGATCAATGATCCTTCTTATCAGAAAATGTTTTCACTGCGGTATGATATGCCATATGTTACGTATTTTTAGCATTATATGTATGTCCTTTCGGAAACTTCAACGTGATGAAGTTACCGGATCTAGATACTTATACCATCCGTGATTCAGAAAAAGTGTCAAAGTGCAATTCCATCTATGGATGATGGAACAGTAATACTCGGACAAGGACTACATAGTATGCGAGAGAGATTATTATATTAAAATTCACGTTAAACGTGCTTCCTTGTAAAAATTAATAAAAAATCTTTTCAGATACACAGTGCACATTGTCATAAGCGAGCTTCGATATGCATGTTTAACATGCAGTCCGGAATGCTCATCCTCGGCTCCTCGTCAAGCTTCGTATTGTCATATTTTTTTGGACAGAGTTAGAAGCGTTTACAAGGAAATACCAATTTTTGCAGATTTATCCAGTAAATTTTCAGACCTCTCGATCATCGACCTCTCGGCTCCACTGAAAAAGCTGATGGTATTTTAATTCTTAAAACGTGTACCGATATGATTAAAAAATACGTAAAAATGTCTACCACCTTACTAAGATGTATTCTTTCATGCTCAGGAGGAACACAATCATTTGGAGTCGAATGTACTGCCCAGATTAGAATGCGAGCTCGCGGAAATTCGAAAAGCTCTCATGGAAGGAGTTCAAAAATTAGTGGACAGGGGTCAAAGACTGGAAGAACTAGTCAGAAAAACGCAGACGTTACAAATCACGGTATTTTGACATTTGAGCCGATTATTGGCCAAATCGATTAACTCCGCAAACAGAAGTAAAGACAATTGATAGATATAAATAGTTAAGCATTAACCAAGTGCTTTAACTCTAAAATTAAAAGGAAATTCTGAAAGTGGTGTTAATCATTTTTGCCTGTGCACGGCTCATTTATTGTCCTCTGTTCTTTACTATTTTAATCAATGATATCGATGTCATAATCGATATCAGTAAACGAATACTTTTGTTTTTCAGGTGCACAGGGATTTCCGAGGACCTTTGAGATCAGCCAGAAAACGAAGAAACATCTTGATAGCGTTTATTACGACAACCTCTATATTTCTCTCGACTACTCTCTTTGTCATTCTTCTCTACTTCGGTATCATTTAAGACTTCGCCATGATTTTAGTAATAAATGAACTTTTAAGAACGACTTCTGTGAAGTTCAGAATCTCTCTTTATATCTATCATCATTTATAAGCTTCTCCTTTCCTCGATCTTTGTACCGAAATATATTGGAAAAAATACTTAGTTTATGTTTTCCCATATTTTTTATTTAATATTCTGCTCAGTATCGTATCGTAATATATAAATTCGTAAGTAACAAATTTGCTAATCACGCGACATACCAATGACTGTTTAGCGCCACTTAATGACAAACTTCTGAAGTATGCAAAGTACTTACAGAGATGAGTTGGGAGATTGCTCACGGGCAGGGTTGCGTGATTGCGTCCTGTGCGGCCTCCCGGTGGAGGATGTGGACGGCTAACGCCCTTGCCATCCGATGCCCACCAATGGCAGCCCAATTCAGGGACCCTCCTCATTTCTGCTTCCAACTCATCTCTGTGATGACAATCATCGTTTAACATCGTTCAACATCTCTTACCAAGTCCAGCAAGATCTGCGGCGATGAACCACCCATGATGACTTGAAAAACAATGAATCCTGTCATAAACCACCTAAACCTGGAAAGGGGCACAAAAGAACAAGTAAAACAGAACATTTAAAAAAATCGAGGAAGTCTGAGATTAGACAGCGAATAAGTTACTAAAAGTCAAGAATATTAATGGTAGATCGATCTCGTTAAATTTACTAAACTGGTATTTTTCATGTCAATAAGTAGGAAAAAATCCATTTAAATGTAGAATCGATAAAATATAATCGAAATGATCGTTCGCCGTCTAATCTCCGTCAATCCTGAAAAAGTGACATGAAAAAATGTAGAAGGGACAATGTGGCCAAAAAGGGATGGCTGTCTGTTCGAAAGAACGGAAGGCCATCGTAGTTGCCCTTCTCTTAAAGGGCCGCTTCGGCAAATAGTCTCTCCGTCTCTTGCAGTCTTTTCGGACAGTGCCCCCTACGTCTCGAATGCTTGGCAATCCCCTGATTTTCCGTATAAAATAAAAATCACCCCGCGAGCAAATCTAAAAGCTAGCAAAACGACGACCTACGATCCGAGGATGCACAGTCCGGGCGTATTGCACATTTATCCGGATTCTCAAGCGCGATCTAATTAATTTCATTCCTGAAAGAAAATTGTCACAATCGCGAGTATGTCATAGGATGGACATCCTTCGCCCTTCTGGAGGGGCGAACGATGGATAAGTACCCCAGGTCCAGGATCTTCCCCCAAACCCCCGGGAAGAGATCCCGCCCTGCTCCTGCCTGCTTGCATTTAGACGTTCACTCCGGACAACTATCCTACCTCCCTAACTGTATCTAAAGGAACAACCATATTCATTCCACTACACTCGCTCCACGGTTCTCTCACACTCCACCCAGGGGCAAAAAGCCTAATTCTAAGGAGCGCATCCCGGGATGTCTCCTACCCCCGAGTTTAGTTCTCGCCCGTAAACACATTATCGATTGCCATCGCCGGTTGAATTTAACAAAATTAAATCAATACCCGCAATCGCAACGCCGCCCTCGAAAAACGCGTCTACACGTGTCTGGTATACAAGATAGTAGAGTGAAACGCATGGTGGGGGTTACAGCCATGGACGTAAGAATATATGGACGAAGCCCAAGCCTAGAATTCTAAATCCAGTAAGTTAAGTCAGAAACGAAGAGAAATTCCCGGTAACTTATCGGTAATTTCTCCAAAGCCTTCTTTATCGAGAAATTATGAGAATTTGAATTTTCCAACAGATCGAACGAGAGGTTTCGATTAGCTATAGAGAAACATCGTAGAGGGGAATTTCCGTTGTACGTTCTCCGTAGCCAATGAAAACCTCCCATTCGCTTCGTCGCAGAATGAAATATCAGTTCATTTGAAATAAATCGCATGGAATTTTCCGTGAAGTTGTAGATACGTGAATATTTTTAGCTGGAGGTAAATACGACCCTATAATCAATATTTTCTAATAGTAATTATTACTCTATGGCTTGAACTTTGAAGTTTATTGAAAAGAAAAAGTTATTTAAACGAAGAAACCTAAAGTATAAATAACAAAATTAATGTTCTTTTAAATTCTCAATGTTCCCGGTAACTTACAATATGTTTCACAGTTACCTTCTCCAATTTAATGTTACCGAGAATTTTCGAATTCTACCCAAGCCAGGGGTGCGAGTGCTACAGTAAGTAAGGGGGGAACACGTACGACCAACGGTAAGGTAGTGTAGAGTGGTTCTGAAATTACGCGCCCCTGTCTAGAGCCAATCCATGGACGTAAGATATTCTTACGAGCCAATGAGCCAATCAGGAGGCTGAAAAATCAGAACCAATATACCCTTCCCTTTCCGACGCGTTGGCTCCCCCCCCCCTGGTCCAAGATGGGACTTTGGGCTCCGTCACATATTCATATGTCCCTGGTTACAACTCGCGCTAGAAAATAGGATCGGTTTCTATTTCCTCGACTCGCATTAGCACTTGGGCGAGTACTCCACTCCAGTACTGGAATGGCAGTTTACCCGATACGAGCAATACTCGGTTTTAGTGACTCGTACGAATTACTGGCACCGTATAAATTAGCCTTTATACATCCATCGGGAACTTCCGCCATACGTTCTCTGCAGCCAATCAAAACCCCTTATTCGCGCTTCGTCTCTCTGTCGCTTGTCGCTGCAGCGCTAATGAAATATCGGCTTTATTCGGTCTTCATCGCTCCGTCGCTTGTCGCTGTACAGAGATCAGTTGGGAGATTGCTCACGGGCAGGGTCGCGCGAT